CCCGGGGGGAGATGGGGGGGTTTTTGGGAATTTTTTGGGTTTTTTTTTTTTTCAAAATATTTTTTGCCCGGTCCCCCCCCCCCCCCCCCCCGTTCCCCAAGGGGTATTTGGGGTTTTTTCCTTCCCCGTTTCCCCACCCCCGCCCCCCGGGGGACCCCTTGGTTTTGTTTTTTTTTTGGGAATTTGGGTTTTTTTTTTTTTTTTTGGCCGCCCCCCCCCCCCCCCCCCCCCGGCCGTCCGCCTGCACCCATGATGACACGTGGTTTGTGTTTTTTCTATTCTTGTAGCGAGCAGCAGGCTATCACAAAACTGCTTTCGGACTGGCAGAACGCTCGCAGGAACCGGGCCGTCATCACGCTTGGCGGTGACGTGCACATGGGTGGTTTCACCGATTCGTGGGTGAGTGAGAGTGAGCAAGGTTTTTTACCCATACAGCAGTGGGGGGGGGGGCTGTTTAGTACTGGTTGAGTAACAACGTGGGTGCCTCGGTTAGACAGTAGTGTGATGGGCAAAGTACGCACGGTGCGGCAGGCTCGTGTTGGGCGAGGCGGTGTATGGGGATGGTGGTAGTTGGCCGCGTACGTCCAAGAGAGAGAGGAAGAAAGAGAGACCGAGGTGGAATCTCAACTGAGGCAACAGCAGCTCTATCTCTATCTCTCTGGTGTTACCTTCGAATCGCCGTTGTCGTGGGGTGCTGTAATTTCGTTGTTTTTCTCCTCTTGTTTTTTTTGTGCCGATGTCACTGTAGTACCCTGAAAAAGTTTCTCCTGACCTGAAGACCTCCGATCCTGCCTCACGCAGCAGAACAACTTCTCTGCGTTGCACGCCTTCGTGTTTTATTGGAACAGGTCGGTTTTGCACATGAGCTGTTTTCATGCGTGAACATGCTTGCTGCTGTTTACGCCGTTCTTGTTACCTTCGGGCCTTTCCTTAGCCTTCTCCCGTCCCGTTGTGCCGCACGTTGGTTCCCCACCCCCCACTGCAGCACAACGGGTCTGACATCCCCCTTCACCAGCTGACGGCTTCTGCTGTGGGGAACCAGCCTGAGGGAGGCATGACCACTCCCAGAGAGGTGGCCCTGAGGAGCGCGATGCACGCGGATGAGCGCTTGTTCGACTTCAAGGTGATGGGGCTGTCTGTGTTTTTTGGCGGTGGTTGTTGTGCAAGGGCGTGTTTGGTAGGGTGTACTCATTCTCAAGCATGGTTGAGTTCCACACTTGCTGCGATACTCGTACTCGGTGATTACCCCCACCCCCACCCCCACCCCGGGAAATACCTCACGGCGCTTCGCGCTTGGTGATGTGAGAACCTGGTCCGGTGAGAACCCGGCTTGCTCCGTCCCGGTTTTGCAGGGATGCGAGGTCAATGGTACTACGGCATGCGCGAGTATGAGTACACCCCCCACCCACCCCCCCGAAAATAGTTATGTAGTGACGTTAGTCGCGCGGGGCATTTCTGTGGCCTCCCGTTCACACCGCTGTACACCACTCGCGACTACTCATCGGTAGAGGGGTAGCGGCGGTGAGATTCATGAGTAACGCAGCACACAGTACCTCTTACAAGTGCGGCGGAACCCGCCGATGCAGCACCCTAGCAGGCACCAGCACCAGGAACAGGAGTCCTTGCAGTAGTGGACCGCCTTCGCGAGTATATATTTTTATCTGTGAAATAGAGAGGGGGGGGTTCGCAATATAACCCTACAAGAACCAAGCATGATATCCTGGCGAAGGCTACTGTTAGCAGTCGCGTGACCCTTCGTCTGCTGGTGTCTTTTCACGTCTCGAAACGTGGCGGGTGCGTTTTTTGTTCCCGTCACCGCACGTTTGGGATTTTGCCGTGTTCTCCGCCCCCAACCCCGCCCGACTAAAGCCGAGCTTAATTGTGTCATCGCGAAGGCTACGGCTGCTGTAAGCAACACTGGTGGTCCTAGCCTTTTGTTGAGGTCGGGAGGTTTGAGCTTGAAGACCACACGTCATCCACAAACCGCCCCCGCAGCAGCATATCATCGACGAACAGCTTCTCCTCGATCGCCCGCCTGCACAAGTATATATACAAGCCTATCGTACCATATACTTGTGCAGGCGGACGATTGAGGAGAAGTTGTCCGTCCAGGATATTATGCGTATGCGGGGGCGGTTTGTGGATGACGTGTGCATGCGCGCCGCTGGGGTACTCTGTAGACGAGAAGTTCCTCCGTGGAGGCCGTATGGTCTTCCAAGCCCCAACCTCCCGACCTCAAGAAAGGCGAGGACCAACCACCAGTCAGTGCTGTTACTTGCTGGTGATTTCGTTGCATGGAGACTGCGAGGCAATCAGCGCAGACACGGCAACGGGGTACGCCGCTTTCGAGAGGTTCAAGACACAAAAGACAAGAGAGATTGTTACCAGCAGAGCAAGGGGCGCGCCGTGCACCCTAGTCTTCCCATGGGTCCGGATGCACCTTCCGTTAACAGGTCCCGATGCACCCTCCGTTAACGGGATATTTCCTGGTGCCAACGTACTCTCCCTTCACAGGATGTTTTTTTGAAGACATCCTGTCCGCACTTTCTTTATAAAACAACAAACGAAAAAAATCTGAAACATCCTGTTAAGGGAGAGTACGTTGGCCCCGGGAAAGATCCCGTTCACGGAATCTGCATCGGGACCCGTGGCAAGACTTGGGTGCACGGCGTGCCCCTTGCTCTGCCGGTGACCATCTCGTGTCTGTGATGTCTTGAACTTATCGTCGGCGGCGGGCCCCGTTCCGCTATACGTCTGAGTTCACCGTGCTGCAGGCACACCCTCTCGTACATGTCCCTCTCGGCCCGCCTATCTGTATGACCTCAGGAGTCTTGGAAGTGATGCAGATCGAAGTGCCAGGAGAGACATTTGCGAGGGGTGCGAGTCAGAGGACCGGCTGTTGCTTGGCAGCACGGTGATCTCCGAAGTGTACGGCAGTGTGCACGGAAGGCCTTAGAAATGCCCGCACCGCGCCGCGGTTAAGAACTTGATGTCGCTGCTGCTGCTGCTAACTTGATGTCGCTGCTGCTGCTCCTTGTGTTCCTGCTGCTGTGGCATGTGACAGGTGGAGCACCACGAGTGGATATACGGCGCGAACTACGGCATGTTGGACTTCAAGCTCCACGAGCAGGGCCACGGCCGCCACCGCCCTCATGTCACCCGTAAGTGCCCTAATTTATCACTCTCTTGCCTTAACCCCTATCCCCCCCCTTTTTTTGCGACGTTTGGTGAAGTAGGGATGCATCGGTGGTCGGTCCTCCTGTGGGAACAATGCTCCGTCCTCTCAAGGATGCGTGGTCAATGGTCTACCCGCTAAGGCATGCAAAACATTCGAATACGAGTACGCCCCCAGCACACCATACTCGTCTATACTAACGAATCCGTGGGCATGCGTTTACATGAGTACCCCCCCCCCCCCCTCTCCCCGCCTCTTGTTTCCTCTACTGTATCGGCTGGTGCTCTTTCGTCCAGTTTGAACCACCCGCTTGCGGCCGGCTCTTCAGTGTGTACATTTTTGGGAGTACCGTGGTTGATACCGTGGGGGGGAGTAAATAGTATCTGGGCGACTTGGAACTGTGCAGGCATGCTTCGCTTTGAGATCGGATTTTTGTGCAAGCATACTTCAACACTACTACTCGCCATGTCAGCGATGAGTGATGTTGAACATGGGAACGGACTAAGCTATGCAAACCCCAGGACGTAAAGACGAGGGTACAAGACCTCTCTTTCTTTTTATGAATTATCGACCGGTGGTGTTAGATTGCTCTGACGGAGTATGTAGTTACTACACGACGCCAGCGGTAGGTGATTCCAACAACACCCGACCAGCAGCCCACAACAAACGACAACAGTGAGATAACAACGCCCCCCCCCCCCCACCCCCCCGCTCGATGATATTTCGTTCCCGTCATTTTCTTGCCTTTTTTTTTTTTTTTGCGGCGGCGGCAGTGACTCTGGTGGGGGAGAAGGGAGACCCCAAGGTCCGCAACCTTCAGTTCGGAAACTCGTCGGTTGGGCTAAAGAACAGGGAGCACTCCGAGGCTTCGGAAGCTGCCCACGCGGCTGCCGAGGTCATGGGGGTTCCCCCCTAAGTCTCAAGACCAAGTCTTGCAGTCTGATGACCATAATGATAGTCTTGAGACGAAGTCTTGAGTCTTATCACCAAGTCTTGAGACCAAGTCTTACGTCTTGAGTTCAAGTCTTCATTTAAGACTGAAGCCTTCAAGTCTTAAGACGCGACGCACCATTGCGTCTCCTTTGGTGACGATAACGACGGGACCCTTCCGTCTCTTGATCAATCTTTTATCCTGGATCGTCCGTTCCACGATCGTTTGAATCAGCCGGCCGCTCTCGCTTGCACGGCAGCTGTATGTATTTGCCGCGTTGCTTGTCCTCATTGTCCGGGGAGATATGATGGGCGACGGAAGAGAACCAAGGATTGCGCTTGGGAATCGACAGACCCGTCGGGTCAAGTTCCGGGCTTTAGGGATGAGGCGCGTAGGGGGTTGGGGTGTACTCGTGTGCACGCATGCCGTAGTGGTGAGACCTCCTGTCCATGCCGGGACGCGGCCCAGGCTGTAATATACAAGAATGAACCAGAGTTGGTCATTTGCGTTTGCGGTGCCAAAGCAAAAATAAATGTGATCAACGGGGGGAGAGATAATGTTGACTCTGCTGGTAACCAACCCTCATGACCGGGCTCTTGGTCTCCGGTAGGGTGGGGCATATCTTCTTTAAACTGAGTCACACCACCCTCTAGGGCGCCAACCCAACTGCCTTCCCCTCGTTGTTGTTGTCTGGTCAAGCGTAGGTTTTGGTGTCGGTTGTAGGCGAATTGTTTGCTTCGTCGTTCGTATGCATAGCGTTTGTGACCTACGCTGTTGAGTACAAAATGGTTTGAACTTTGTTGCTGTTTCATTGGTGCGCAGGTTTAGGTACGCACGTAATTACACGCCAATGTATGACTTTTCCATGTTGTCCTTGTTGCGGCAGTCTGGAGGTCCCGCTTTTTTTTATTTTTTATTAATTAGTCTATTGCACAACGGATCCATCTCTATCCGCAAATAAGAAAAAGAGTCCATACTAGCAATTGATTCATAGTGTCGGCGGAGTGGAAGCTACCTGGGTTTCTACGGCCCCCCGAGCGGTACATACCACTGTCTCCCCCGTGGGTGAATGGACGGGTAGGCCAAGGAAAGAACGAAACAAGAACGACGTCCAGCAGTTCGTGGTTCCTGGTTTGCGTTCGATTTTGTTCATGTGGGCGAAGTAGAGCAACCAGTCGTGTGGATCACGTTTACAGGGTTGACGAAGCGGGAAAGGCAGCGTGAGATATAGGAACCGCGCCTGAGAGAGGGGAGGGAGAGGAACCAGATGCTCAAGACATTTGTGGGTGGTGGCGAGCTAGTCGTTGTTTGGGTGGGGTATTATGTAGCAAGAAGAGCAGTGTTGCTGACTTTTTTTTTCGTGCACTCACTGCTGTGTCGCGCAGCAATCAAATCCCACGGGGCGAGACAAAATGCGTTGTTGCCTCTTCCGGTGGCGAGACTACTTACTTCCTTGCGTGTAGCCAGCGCTACAGGGCGCGCCCTCCATGAAAAATGTGTCAAGTCCTCTGAAATGAACTTAGCAACCAAGTTTTGTGCCCGCCGTGTCTTCAGGGTGGAGATTTTTGCCAATACTGCCCTCCTCCCCTGCCTAGCGCTGACTTCCTACGCCTGCTTCGCTAACGTGACACTCACCAACTCTTTTTTTTTCGGTGTCAAGAATTAGGCAAGAGCTCGATGCGCCGCACAGCAGCTCTCCATTGAGCCTGCGACTCTCAATTTAGGGACAAAACAATGGATCGTGTGAGAGAGTCTGAACGATAAGCTAAAGCGAACGACGCGCTTAGAAAAACTGCAACACAAAATAGCGGCGATTGCGCAAGATCGACGTCGGAAGCAAGTTGCAGGGAGAGGTGTTGCGAAATAAGTACTGGTATGCAATATGGGTGCACTGATGTCAGTTCCCCTGGCATTGTGTATCTGACCTGCACAAGACGTTAAGAAAATTCGGGATCAAAACTTCATCGAACTTAACCTCCATTCTTTCAACGTAGTCACCCGGTGCGTGGGTTAATATTATCACATGACCGTGAGCAAAAGCAACAAACAAGCAAATAATGTAGCGCAAGTGTCTCCCCCGCCCTCCCCCCGCTGCCCTAAAAAAACTACTGCCTCAAAATCTTGCGCTGACGCCGTTTCTTCCAGCCGGGCAGCCATCAACTCATACTCACCAACTACGTTAATCTCGTCTGTCGGCTGTCAACAATTCTCGTCCCACGCTGCGTCGCTAAAACATCCTTCGCTGGCACGCCCCAGGGGATGAGCAAACAAGCAACACATCAAACTCCGTATTTATTTCCTCTCGTGCCGCGAAACCACGCAGCCATCAACCACTTCCCCCCCCCCCCCCCCCCCCCCCCTGGCTCC